AGTCCAGGAACCTTCATATCATGCTCACGTCATCCTACTCAGGCATGGGGATGTCTGAGATTGCAGCCTGTGTCCTGCAAAGCGTCATGTTCGAGCTTGGGTACCGCGTTGACTTGCAGACACACTCGCAATGTGACAATGATGAAGCCTGCTTATCCCTTGCGCGTGCAAACCATGTCTTTCGAGATCTGACTGAGCGAGTGGATGATGATTTGTGGGCTTCGCTGTGCAAACTTCAAGAGAAGCATTGCCAACGCTTGTCTGAGACATTGGCTGGGACCCCCAAGCAGGCCATGAGAGCAGCCACGGCTGCGGCTGGTGATGGCTTCTTGCAGGAGGCTTGCTTGCTGCTCGACAACAATCTGGACAAGTTTCGCTTGACTGCGGAGTGCCACGAGTGTGGGTGGGGTGCTACGTGTGCCTGGGCCCCGCCGCAAAAGGCTGGCAGTCTTTGGGTAGAGGCGGCTGGCAACACGTGTACGCCGTTCAGCTCACGAGGTAAGCTCACTGGGTTTCTGGATGCACAATCGCTTCCTGCTTTCGTGTGGGCGTTTTCCCTCAAGGCGGCTAGCGCAGCCGGCAGGCGCTTGGATGTTGTGCTCAATGAATGTGTCCCTGGATTCCCAGCAGAAGCCTTCTTCAGAGCTGTCTGGCCCCAGGCGCAGATTTTCAGTATGGTCTTCAGTCCTACGGAACTTGGGTTGCCAGTGAACAGGCAAAGGCGCTACACGCTGGTGCTTCCAAACCCAACCTCTCCGCTGTACGGCAAGATTCCGTTCAATCCCAGTTTCTTCCGCTCAGTGGCCTTCCGGCGCTTGCAATTGAAAGGCTCAGTGTATCTGCAGGCGCCAACGAATTTGGTCAATGACTTCATAGATGGTCTGGCTGAGATCAAGAACCTCCCCCCGTGCCCTGAGGGGCATCACCATGGCTTCCAAGCGGTTATGGCCACTGGTAAGCGGATGCGGATGCTGAGTCACCTGGACGTTGTTCGGGAGCGCATGGGGGATTTGGATGCCAATGCTGACATCGCGCAGACACCATCGTTCTCCCGGGCCATGCTTGTTGTGCCGACCTTTATGCGCAACTCCGTGATCTACAACTTCGCGGCTGGTCGGGAGTTCTTGACATTGGAGTTACTCAGTGCTCAAGGTGTGCCGTACTTCCTTCCAGATGACAACCCGTTCGTGCGAGAAATGCCCCATGATTTCCTGAATGAGCTTGCGCAGATTCCTTCCAAAAAGCTCAGAAGCATCTGTGGCAATTCCATGAACATGGCGCAAGTGGGATCAGTCATGGCAATGATCTTTATGTTCGCGACGCGTGTTGAACTACACAGCTGACCTAGGACCTACTCCGCTCCCTGCGTGAAAAAACCAGTGCCTTTGGGGTTTCCAGGGCCTTTTCAAGTGGCCCGTTTTGTGTGCTACTGTCCTGTTCCCACATGGTCGTGCTGATCTTTCAAGTGGCCCGTTTTGTGTGCTACTGTGCTGTTCCCACATGGTCGTGCAAATTCTTCAAGTGGCCCATTATGTGTGCGACAGTGCTGTTCTCACATGGTGGTGCTGTTCTTTTCAAGTGGCCCGTTTTGTGTGCTGCGGTGCTGTTCCCACATGGTCGTGCTGATCTTTTCAAGTGGCCCGTTTTGTGTGCGACTGTGCTGTTCCCACATGGTCGTGCTCATCCTTTCAAGTGGCCCGTTATGTGTGCTACCGTGCTGTTCCCACATGGTCGTGCTGATCTTTTCAAGTGGCCCGTTATGTGTGCGACTGTGCTGTTCCCACATGGTCGTGCTCACCTTTGCAAGTGGCCCGTTTTGTGTGCTACTGTGCTGTTCCCACATGGTCGTGCAGATTTTTCAAAGTTGCTCATGATGTGTGCGACTGTGCTGTTCTCACATGGTCGTGCTGTTCTTTTCAAGTGGCCCGTTTTGTGTGCTACGGTGCTGTTCCCACATGGTCGTGCTGATCTTTTCAAGTGGCCCGTTATGTGTGCGACTGTGCTGTTCTCACATGGTCGTGCTGTTCTTTTGAAGTGGCCCGTTTTGTGTGCTACTGTGCTGTTCTCACATGGTCGTGCTGATCTTTTCAAGTGGCCCGTTGTGTGTGCGACTGTGCTGTTCCCACATGGTCGTGCTCATCCTTTCAAGTGGCCCGTTATGTGTGCTACCGTGCTGTTCTCACATGGTCGTGCTGATCTTTTCAAGTGGCCCGTTATGTGTGCGACTGTGCTGTTCCCACATGGTCGTGCTCACCTTTGCAAGTGGCCCGTTTTGTGTGCTACTGTGCTGTTCCCACATGGTCGTGCAGATTTTTCAAAGTTGCTCATGATGTGTGCGACTGTGCTGTTCTCACATGGTCGTGCTGTTCTTTTCAAGTGGCCCGTTTTGTGTGCTACGGTGCTGTTCCCACATGGTCGTGCTGATCTTTTCAAGTGGCCCGTTATGTGTGCGACTGTGCTGTTCTCACATGGTCGTGCTCACCTTTTCAAGTGGCCCGTTATGTGTGCTACCGTGCTGTTCTCACATGGTCGTGCTGTTCTTTTCAAGTGGCCCGTTTTGTGTGCTATTGTGCCCCGACGCCGCATTGCCTACAAGTTTCGCGAGCCCACGGGCATGCCTTCAGGCGTGGGCAAGACAGCTTCAGATTGCAAGCTGGGGATGGCGCCTCGCAAACGAAATTCTCCCGAAAGGCACAGACGCACGAGAGAAGCCACGTTGCTCGAGATTCCTTTCAGCATCAGACAGCACCCGCTGCAGCAGATTTGGCCGAAAGGTGCTTTGGTACTAGACAGAGAACCTCCGGCGGAGGAGGACGTGACCGTGACCCGACGAGATCTCCACGGCAATGAGTGGCAGGCGACCACCCTGGCGCGCCAAGACCGAAGCGTGGCAGAAATCATCGCTGCAGAGTGGTGCTTAAACGCACATAAGGTGGTCCACAAAACCAGGTACAGCTATGTGTACTGCAAGTGCGACAGGCAGCCTCCCTGTGGGATGGTTGTAAAGTACACACTTTTGGGACAAGATGTCCGCCGCGAGAGCAAGAGCGAGCATGTTCTTAGCAGGAATCTCCGAGAAACGGTCCGTGAAGTGGCCGAAATGCCTTCGAACCCAGCTGCTTCACTGGTGGCATGGTCACAAAAGAACCCTGATGTGGCAGATGCTGATATCCCAACGCGCAGCCAGGTCAGCCGACGGAAGTCCTTGCAACGGGTTCGCCACCACGAAAACAGCACTCTGGTAACTCATTTGCAGGAGCGGGAGGCCACCAAAGACTGGGAATTTGAAATCCTGGCAGAAAACTTGGCCCAAGGCATAATCTGCTTCTCTTCAGAGCTCTATGTGAATGTTTTTCAGCAGCACAAAGATGCTATCACAAAGCACGGGCTGCGGTTGGGGTGCGATGCCACTCACGATATTTCGAACTCCAAGGTAAAGCTTTTTGCGTTGGGGTGGCTTGCACAACATGCTGACGGTGGTGTCATCCGCAACACATTCATTCCACTGGCCTTTGCACTGGCACCGTCAGAAGACAGCGCTGCAACCCTGCTGCTGCTGCTGCTGCTGCTGCTGCTGCTGCTACTGCTGCTGCAGAGCACCGATGCACACTTGCAGGAAGCATGCGGGTTCACGTTGAAAGATGCGAAAGTAGCTCACCTGGACGGAGGCACTGGCCTTGTGAAAGGATTCCAGGACTACTTCGGAAGCGCACTGCCTTTGGCCAGAAGTTTGCAGCACATCAAAAGGAACATCCAAAAAGAAGGTGTCAAGAAACTGCGGAGTACAAGCTGGTGGGATACCGTGCAACGCTGGGTCAGCTTCAGTGCCTTCCTCCGCAGTGACTGCTTGTTTGATCGTTTCTGGCACCATTCCTTAGCTATCCTGAGGCGGCAGGGTGAAGAAATGTTCGAAACATACCTCGCCTCAGACATACTGAGCCACGTGTGTGGGAAATGGACAGGTTCGTGGAGAGCCGGCCTGCTGGAGCCGGGATATGGGCCGTACGCTTTGAACTCCGTGGATTCGTTTTTCAAAGTCCTGGACCACCATGTGCCGGAGGAGAAACTTCTAAGCCTCATGGATGTTGTCTCCAAGTATGAGCATGTCGGGCGGATTTTCAAAAATGAAAAGAAGTGGTCTAATTTGTGCCTTGCTGTCTCCACGCTATGCACACCCGCCATCTTAGGCGACACCCCCAACAACTTGAGCGAACGCCTGGAACATTTCCATGGAAAACAAGTTCGCCGTATGAGTGTGGCTGGCATCAAACGGGTGGTGGAGAGCGGTGCAAACATCCGGTTGGAAGTTGGTGCAACGGCATCGGTCTTCTGCAAGTATCACCCCGGCGATTTCGATGAGCAGAAGATGCGAATGCTGGCCACCTTGGAAATGACAGAAGATATAGATGAGGTGGACGCATGCCTCCTGGCCCTGAAAGCACTAACGAAGCGGATGGAATTCATTTCCACCCGCGTGTGCTTCGAGCATTGTATGCTCAATTCACAGAAGTGTACCAGCAGGGTGAGGCAACCTTGGAATCACATCAGGATTTCGGTCAAGCCGGGATGACCGAGCATTATGCCTTATGCCAGCTGGAAAGGGGGGCCTTGGCTTTGCCTGAAAAATTTTCCAGCCTGAAGCGGCAAAGCCATTCCATAGGCAGGCCAAGAGGCAGACCCAAGGGAAACCCCAAAAGAGTTGCCAAAGCCCCAGCTCGTGGAAGAGGAGGAGGCCGGTCAGGGAGGGGTGGCTGTAAGCGCAAAGCCTCGGAAGGTTCTTTGCCGGACCCACGGTCCGCGGAAGCCACACTGGCAGAATGCTTCGCGTTGGATCCACTGGAGGTGGCAAGTGCAGAGGGGGAAACTGCCGCTCCTGGCACCTTGCCAGAAGTCGCAGCGCGCTTCGCAATCATGATTGAGGAGGGCATTTTGCCCGACACCACCCAGGAGATGCGAAGATGCAATGTGCGCGCCCAGGGTACCCAATACGGGGTGCCCGAGGGATTGCCAGAAGCACTGGACTACGGGTATATCCACCCGAACCTCCCGGCGCCACCAGGGATGGTATGCAAGCGCACCGCGTACAAAACAATGCAGCTGGTAGCACGTGGAGGCTGATGCCACGTTGGGGGGGGCGGGGGCAGCGTGGAGGCGGTGATCCATACAATGTTCTTCCATTGGCCCAAACCGTGGGAACTTTTTTCATGATCTCTTTCATCTCTGCCCACAATTCCCTTGTGGCGCCCTTCCGATGCAACTGGCACCCCAAATAGCTTCTCGACGCTGCAGGCATACCACGCGATTTGCGGGAATAGCAAAAACGAACACCTGTGCACAACACTGCTTGGTTGGGGCGTTCTTTATGATTTTCCCAATGTGTAACAGCCATTTGGTATTCTGCCCGATTCCTTCGACATCGCTGTAGTTGCCCTGCTTATATAAGCTTCAACGAATCTGCGGAGACTCCACCTTGACCCTTCATTCTGAACCCTGCTTTGGGTTTAGGGTTCAGGGTTTAGAGAGTTTAGGGTTCAGTTTATTTCGGGTTTAGGGTTTAGGGTTCAGGGTATTTAGGGTTTGGGGTATTTACCCTTTCTGGGCTTCCGTTTCTGGGGGTTCCACACATTTTCCTTTTCTTTGCCCTTGGAGAGTCTGGAGAGACGACTGCAGACTGGCCGCTGAGCTCTGCAGGAGCCTGGGTATGTACCAATGCCCAAAAACCCATATGCCTATCTGCCTATCTACCTACCTACCTCCATACCTATATCTACCTACATGACACACAGAGAGACTGGCATACATACATACCGACAGACAGACAGACAGACAGTCAGACAGACAGACAGGCAGGCGGGCAGACAGACAGACACAGACACAGACACAGACACAGACACAGACACAGACACAGACACAGACACAGACACAGACACAGACACAGACACAGACACAGACACAGACACAGACACAGACACCGACACAGACACAGACACAGACACAGACACAGACACAGACACAGACACAGACACAGACACAGACACAGACACAGACACAGACACAGACACAGACACAGACACAGACACAGACACAGACACAGACACAGACACAGACACAGACACACACACACACACCATATATGTACATACATGCATGCAAAGATACATATACACCTAAATTGTAGTACATAAAATGCCCCCCACATCAGGTCGCGTTTACGCAGTGCTGGCAAGTTTTGGGGTGGCCAGGAGGGGGTCTCCAAAAAACTCGTGCAGGAGTCGAAATAGCTGCCTGTATCATGCCCTTGCAATCCCTAGAACATGAATCTTCTAGAATACATGAAAGAATGTTGTGCTCGGTTGTATCTGGCCAAGAGGCCTGCGGGCCCTTGAGCTTCAGGTCCGGTAACCAAGGCTAGAACTACAGTTACCATACTTGGAGCCCTACTTCTAAATCCCCACGAGTCTGTGAGTGGGATCATTCGAATCTTCTTCCTTTAAGGATTCCCGGGGGGGCTCCGGTGTGCTCCGAACCACCCGTGCAAGAAAGCGCACGAGGGCAGCTGGGGGGTTCCCTACCCCCTTGGCAAGTTGTTTGGGTTTAGGGTTTAGGGTTTAGGGGTTTAGGGGTTTAGGGGTTTAGGGGTTTAGGGGTTTAGGGGTTTAGGGGTTTAGGGGGTTAGGGTTTAGGAATTCATGCAAGACACCGGCTCCCGGAATTCTGGGATTTCTGAAGGCAGAAGTTTCAGGCTTGAAGGCTTCAGGCCTTAGGTTTCAAGGGCTTTGGTTGCGGTCCCTGACCCCCACGCTTCGCATTCTGCCAGGGTTAACCCTCAGCAATTCGGGGCCATTCTCTGATGAAAGCAGGCCCTGAACCCTAAAACCCATACTGTTCTAAATAGCCATCGGGCCCATTGTGCCGTCAAAAGGGTTCAGGGCTTCAGGGTTTCGAGTTTTAGGGTTTTGGAGTTTTAGGACTCTGGCGTTTTTGGGGTTTAAGGGCTTGAGGGTTTTAGGGCTTGAGGGTTTAGGGTCTAGGTCTAGGTTTTTGGAGCTTGGGGTTTTGGGGTTTTTGGGGTTCTGGGGTTAAGGGGGGTTTTGGAGTGGTGTGACTGGGCCGAGGTGGTGGATGCAATGATGCGAACTGTGCCTTCGCGCACAGCGGGGGGCCCATCCATCCGACTAGGTGTGGGGTTTAAGGGGCCTTGGGGGCTTCACTTGGAGGTTCATAGACAGGTATAAGTAGGCTTATAAGTACATTAAATATCGTGATATCTATTGCCATACCTATCACCCCAGTTATCTAAGCTCTAGACCCTAGACCCGATACCCTAAACCCTACTTTTAACTACCCAACCCTAAACCCTAAACCCTAACTCCTAACTCCTAAACCCTAAACCCTAAACCCTAAACCCTAAACCCTAAACCCTAAACCCTGAACCCTAAAACCCTAAACCCTAAACCCTAAACCCTAAACCCTAAACCCTATACCCTATGCCCTAAACCCTAAACCCTAAACCCACCACGGTCGACCTTCAAAGAGCGCCGGGAGTCTATGCCCTTGACGCGGGCTAAGGCGAAGAGGATTTGCGCTCGACCGACATGTTCTTCAAGAAGACCCTGCATGGCCCCGAGGATGACTTGGGAGGGTTTAGGGTTTAGGGTTTAGGGTTTAGGGTCTAGGGTATAGGGTTTAGGGGTTATATGGAAGATATCAAAGGCTAACCTTGTTTGGGCTAGGGTATTAAACGCCCCTAAGGATGAGGAAGAGGGTCAGGGACTTTTGCGCGCAAGTTTTGCGGAGTTCCTCGGGATTCGAGGGTGGTGGTTGCTTCGGCCCCAAAAGGCCCGAAAGCCTTATAAACCCCTTAGGCGATGCAGGAGTCGCAACTGGGTTTCGGGGTTTAGGGCTTAGGCTTCAGGGATTAGGGTTAAGGGTAGGTTTCGGGTGTCGCGATCTCGGTGATGTTGAAGGCTTTCGGGGGGGCGCGGGGCGCCTCTTCGCATTTTTTGTTTTTGTTTTCGGGTGGCTCCGGGCTTACGGGCTCAGGGCGTGGAGTTACGATGAACTCCCACACGCCCCAAGAGTCTCAATGCGTAACGGCTTAAGGTGGCGCGGGCTCAAGGCTTGAAAAGGAGGCTTCCTAAACCCCAGACCCCTAACCCGGAACCGCTTGAACTGCAAAACGTTCGACAGTAACAATTATGAAGCATGAAGGTAAGACCAATGAACACCAACATTTGACGGAATTTCACACCTCGAAACATGGCTGTTTCGCGTTGACCAACGAAGCGCCATTGTCGATATTTGTTTGCTTCTAACCATTTTTTGCGCTGTTGCGCGCGATGGTACGGATCTTGCTTGTTCATTGGCTCGCAGGCAATTCACAAATTTGTGGGAAGATTCTTGTTTGTCGCGAAAATCTTGCAACAGTGCCGGAGTTTCACCCCTTCATGCCCTGGCGCGGCACTGCGTGGCCCCGACCCCACAAATTTCCACGATTCGCCTCGATTGTGCTGCTTGCTTTTTTGACTTAAACCACCCACTGCCCCCCCCCGCGCCCGATTCGCCCCCGCTTCCGCCTGTGGGGCCGCAAGTAGTTGTTTTTGGCATTTTGCAACATTTTTTGATGCTGATGCGGATTGATGCTTGTTTTCAAGTCTTGCAAGGCGTTTGTGCTTTTTTAAGCGGCCGTGGTCTAGTTTCGCAAGGTTTGCAGGTCCCAAAAGTCCAACATCAAGGTGTTCTCGCACGTAAGCAATCTTTGTCGTTCTTGTTTAAAAACTCGGCCGGATTCCGGCTCGAAATCCTGTTCTGTTTGTTTAAGATTGTTCCCAAGCATACATGTCCCCCAAATAATAAAACATCGTTTTGTTGTTTGCAAGGGACATGTCTCCCAAGAGCACTTGTGCAAAGTGGCCTGAATCCTAAAGCTAGGCCCAAATTCGGCTTCTTGTTTTAGGCCACCTTGAGATCAACACCCTTTTTCAGCCTCAAGAGCTTTCGGACGCCGAGGTGCATCTGGAACGAGAAGGGCAAATGTCGCAATGGAGAACAGCGCCGGCCTTAACTTGGAAGGGGCCTCGGGTGGGAGCATCAGCTAACCGTGCGTTTGGGGGGTTCGGGTTTGGGGCTCTAGTCGCAACGTGGAACGGGCGGAGGGGGGGGGGGTGAGAGGGATGTAGGGTCCTCTTGACACCTCCCGTCTTCATCGTTCTGGAAGTGAGCACCCAACCCTAAACCTCCTATCAACGAAAGGGCACCTGAGGTGTCGCTTTGCCCACGGGGTCGGCGAGCTTCGCCTCAATACCAAGACCTCGGAGAAAGCGGTGCTGGAGGACGCGCCTTTGCGGTACCGCCTTTTGGGGTTCCTGTACTAAGGACGTAGGATTGTGGGGTATGCTACGGAGAGACACCTGTTTTGAAAAAGATGCTCAAGTAGGCCCGAAGACCTAAAACAAATGCAGCTCGTGGCGAGCTGTGTTGAAAAGCTCAACCCTAAGCTCCAAGTGGGGTTAATCTCAATTGGGGCTTTGGGTGAGACCATGGAGAATGCACTTATGCCGAGACCCATCCCCTCTCTGTTTCCCCGCAGCCGGGTAGAAACCCCCGCACACGACAAGACATGAGAATCAGCCAAACCATAACAGTAATTCCTAATATAGAAACCCAACTTTCTACTATGACTATAGACCCTGTAAACCCTGTAAACCCTGTAAACCCCATAAACCCTATAAACCCTATAAACCCTATAAACCCTATAAACCCTATAAGCCCTATAAGCCCTATAAACCAAGAAGCCCGCCAGACTCTGCATCAACTCCCAAACCGAAGCGTCTTTTGCCTCAGACCGCGACTTTCGTCCCTTCCGGAATCCTAAGCCCTAAGCCCTGCCCTAAGCCCGAAGCCCTAAACCCTAAGCCCTAAGCCCTAAACCCTAAACCCTAAACCCTAAACCCTAAACCCTAAACCCTTAACCCTTAACCCTAAGCCCCAAACCCAACTTGACAGGCTTAGGGCTTCAGGGTTTCAGGATTCGAAGGCCCCCTCAAGAATCAGGCGCCCGGAGATGTCCCCAAAAGCGCGCCCTCCCAGGAGGACGATGGCAAGGAGAAGGACAACCTGAACATGAACGAGGAGCCCTGACACCCTAAACCCTCAACCCTCAACCCTCAACCCTCAACCCTCAACCCTCAACCCTCAACCCTCAACCCTAAACCCTAGACCCTAAACCCTAAACACAAGCCCTAAACCCTAAACATTTCCTGTCAGAATCTTGAGGGCTACTCAGGGCTTTCCGGGTCCGGGCTTTTCAAGGCTGCGCCCCTTACACCCCTTCAACCCAGAACCTGGAGCCCGAGCCCGAAGCCCTAAGCCTGGAGAAGCTCTCAGGTAGCTCGCCTCCTGAAGCCCACTGTCAGGGTCATGGTAGCTATGGCCGGGTTTCGGGTTTAGGGTCTTAAGTAGGGTATCTGTAGTTTTCCTTATGGCCCAAACCCTAAACCCTAAACCCTAAACCCTAAACCCCAAACCCTACACCCTGAACCCTAAACCCTAAACCCTAAACCCTAAACCCTACACCCTAGACCCTAGACCCTAGACCCTAGACCCTAAACCCTAAACCCTAACCCCTGAACCCCAAACCCTAAACCCCAAACCCGACACCCCAAACCCCAAACCCCAAACCCCAAACCCCAAACCCCAAACCCCAAACCCCAAACCCCAAACCCCAAACCCCAAACCCCAAACCCCAAACCCCAAACCCGACACCCCAAACCCCAAGCCCCAAACCCCAAACCCGACACCTCAAACCCCAAGCCCTAAACCCCAAACCCTAAACCCCAAACCCTGAAGTGTCTTTCACCAAGGATATGGGTCGACAGGTCAGCGACACAAGTCAGGCGTGGCGACGCGTGGGCTGCGGGGGTTTTGCGGGGGTTGATTTAGGGTTTGGGGTTTAGGGTTTAGGGTTTAGGGGGCTTTAGGGGCTTTAGGGCTTTAGGGGTGCTTCAGGGGCGCCTTAGGGGGTTTTTAGGAGGTTTTGGGGGTTTGTTTCAGGAGGTTAGGGGGGTTTTGGGGGGTTTTAGTTATCAGATACCATTTCCATTTTCCAACCATGCCCCACCCCTAGCACCCAAATCATAACAACCTATACCTCAAACCTTCAACCCACGAAAAAGACCCATACTAAGACCCTGAAGAACCCATACTCGTAGTATGAAAGCATAGGCAACCCCATAGACAACAAGGTACTCAAACCCATAGCGTTCCCCGCCACTTCTAAAACCCACAGTATCCAACCTCAGACCCCTGAGGTGAGAAAATGGAAGCCATCTTCCTAAACCCTAAACCCTAAACCTCAAACCCTAAACCCTAAACCTTAAACCCTAAACCCTAAAGTAACTATAACAGGAATAATAAGATTTAGCAATATTGCAACGGCAACGAGGCCCAAGAGTAATGCCTACGAATCCCACTAGCGGTGACAATTGTGACTGTTATTAGTACTGCTACTATTAATATGGCTATTTTTTATTCTTGTTACCATAATTTGTAGTCATAATAATATCAGTGTAAATAATAGTTGGCAGAAGAACAGCATCAACTATTTGTTCACACAGCCGTCTTTCCGCATCAAGCGCGCCCCAGTTCTTCCAGCATGCATCTCTCAATGGTTGTGAAGGCTGTCCTTGTGCTTGCCACATTCTCCTGGACATCCATGACGGCAAGGCGGTTTGTTCTGCCAGTCCGCGCTGGCTACAAGCATTTCCCCATGCCGTGTCAGTCGCCTTTCGCTCTGTCACATATTCAATGTGTTGGATGCTTATCCAGAGACTGCACATCCCCACCGCACTACGGGAAGCTTCGAGTTTCCTGCAGCCATTCTGGCAATTGTGTCACGAGGAAAGGTGGTTTGATAGCCTGCAGTGCATGCACTGGACATGGGCAGTGTCACTTGCCGGCAGGTTTGAGAGAAGGTTGGGCAGTCGTAGCTGGCGGTCGTCACACTTGTGCCGTGTGGGCAGATGGTCGGCTCATCTGTTTTGGATGGAATGACGATGGGCAGTGTGATGTGCCAGCAGATTTGGGACCAGTTTTGGCAGTCGCAGCTGGCGGTCGTCATACTTGTGCAGTGCGGGCAGATGGTCGGCTCATCTGTTCTGGATGGAATGAGGATGGGCAGTGTGATGTGCCAGCAGATTTGGGACCAGTTTTGGCAGTCGCAGCTGGACATGCTCATACTTGTGCAGTGCGGGCAGACGGTCGGCTCATCTGTTTTGGATGGAACAAGTATGGGCAGTGTGATGTGCCAGCAGATTTGGGTCCAGTTTTGTCAGTCGCAGCTGGCCCTTATCATACTTGTGCAGTGCGGGCAGATGGGCGGCTCATCTGTTTTGGAAGGAAGGATCTTGGGCAGTGTGATCTGCCAGCAGATTTGGGACCAGTTTTGGCAGTCGCAGCTGGCGCTGCTCATACTTGTGCAGTGCGGGCAGATGGTCGGCTCATCTGTTCTGGATGGAATGAGGATGGGCAGTGTGATGTGCCAGCAGATTTGGGACCAGTTTTGGCAGTCGCAGCTGGCTCTGCTCATACTTGTGCAGTGCGGGCAGATGGTCGGCTCATCTGTTCTGGATGGAATGAGGATGGGCAGTGTGATGTGCCAGCAGATTTGGGACCAGTTTTGGCAGTCGCAGCTGGCTCTGCTCATACTTGTGCAGTGCGGGCAGATGGTCGGCTCATCTGTTCTGGATGGAATGAGGATGGGCAGTGTGATGTGCCAGCAGATTTGGGACCAGTTTTGGCAGTCGCAGCTGGACATGCTCATACTTGTGCAGTGCGGGCAGACGGTCGGCTCATCTGTTTTGGATGGAATGAGGATGGGCAGTGTGATGTGGTCAACCGCTGATCATGCAGAAGAAGCAATACTGAGTCAAGGTGACCTTAGCCTTTTCTGAAGGACTCACCGGCATGGCCAGCCTCTTTGACCCCACAAGTCCAGAAGTTCGAACGGCAATCTTGAAATCGTATGAGTACCGGCATCGGGATAGTTGTCCAACCACCCTCAAGCCCGCAAATGCTGCCTATCATGACCTTCAACTCTGTAATAATCTTGACCTAACTTGTTGTCAATATTTTCTATTGTATAAATATTCTGTGACCAGTTGCTCACTTTTTCTTTTTCGTTCGGTTTTCGTTTCCTAGATATTCTATCTTCATCTCCTACATCGAATCTAGTTCAGACAAATACGGTTCTTCTTTGCCGTCATCGTCAAATTTAATTTCACTTTGAAGTGATTACTGGGTTTGCATCTCTTGGCGTAAATCCGTGGCTGAGTGCTTAATTTCATTATTATAGGTTAGTAATACTTCTAATATGCAATCTGGCCATTGGATGTTCTGTTTTTTATCTTCTACTCTCACTCTCCTTTGTAACATATCTTTAAACGTGCAGATGGGTCTTTCACTACAATTCGGGTGAGCCCTCGTTCGGTGATGTTCTATGTTCCCATCCTGCAAATACTTTTGCATTGCCTCCTTGTTCAATGCGCCTTCATCATCTGTGTAAAGTATATGTTTTTTTTACCCATCTTGTTTAAACGCTCAATCATTCCACTCGCTACGTCTTCTTCTTGTTTGCTTTTTTCCACGACAAACACCACGACAAAGAACCCTTAGGGCGACGAATGCAGGAAGCAAAGAAGGAAAACAAAAAACGAAGTACTGCCAACATCTACTCCAGAGATGTAATGTTTTACAAACTTAAATTAGACGAAGACAGTGTCATTACAACCGCCCTCAGAGATGCAGAAGGCAGGCCCTGTACTTCATTCTTGGAAAGAACCTTAAAGTGCGCAAATGTAACATCCACGAGATGTTCAGAGGTCTAGGCGGGGAAGCGAATTTTTAGATACGAGCACGAAACCAGAACCGCATTGAACAAACTAATGGACACCTTCAACACTGTTAGAAGATGACCTATCCTATATCATACAGAGCTGTATATGAAACGTATTCGAATTAAGAGCCTTGATCAGGTAGACGGCGATACAGATTTTATACCAGAACAGGAGAAACTAACAAATACGGCGAATGTAAGCATGCATAGCATCTACATTCAAACGCCTTTAGACCCCGAGTTTGAAACCTCTAAGGAAGCAATGAGCGTAAAGCAATGCAAAAACAAACGAATGTTGCTCTAACACCATATCCGATGAGTATAAGGATACGCTAATGGGCGAGAAGCGACGGGGAAAAACGGATTAACAAAAGAAAGTCTGTGAAAACTGATGAATACAGCCGATGGTGATTTCAAAACGAATGGGGCGTCAATACAGGATATGGTGCCGGTTTTTGAACACTAGGGCATTGAAGTAAGGATATTTAACTCCTTCAGAAAGCCGATTTGCAAATACTCGCCTACCAAAACAAAAATCATATACCCACACTATATGCCCTAGTTAAGAACAACCACATCTACACGGCAAGCGACAACCTTCGATGTTTCGTCAGATGGTGGCACTCCGTGAAGATGAAGATGTATCGGTTACTGCATCCCCCGATTATCATATTAGTGAGAAATAAGAACCCATTGAATGTAAAATGCTACAGTCTGCATTCAGAGAGAAGGATGAATACACGCTAACTTATGATGGTAATGATTGAACCCCTTTGTTTTACGAAAGCTAGATGGCAGGATATGAGCCGCAGATGCGGCTTAGAGGTTGTATCGTATCCGATTTGTATTTTAACTTTAATTCGGAAGAAGAGCATAAGCTACATGATGAACACCCAGATTCTAGTGACGAGCTCCACTGATGTAACTATAACAGTAAGAACCGAACTGATTTATAACAACATGTTTGAAACAATGTATGAATTCAACAAGGCACCATCGAATCCCTTTCCTAAATCCCTTTACAGACCGATTTACAAACTCTCAAGGAATGCCGAGCATTCCCGCCAGTGGGAAAACTAAATAAGTTATTCAAGGTGTTTAACAAACAACCGAGAAATACGACAAACACGGATTTCTGCGCGAAACAACTACCGAAGTAGATGTAAGATAAGCTTACATGCACACCTTCAACCAGATGACCGAAATACCCGTCTTCAGCAAGTGTGATATATGGAAGCATGTTAATTGC